GTTTACCTTGGACCACGACTGGATCACCGGATATCTAGACCAAACATTGTAAACCTCTTAACCCCTTTTTATTACTTTTATCTTAATCTTCACATCCATCATTCCCATTTCGTTTATCGTAACTACCTTGATAACACTCCCATTATTACATATGATATTCGTACAACAATATTATTATTATCTCAATTGACGAGATGAAATTTCTTCTACTATGCATTATATTTACACAATTTTGTGCTTTTTATTTTTGCATTTTCATTTTTGCTGTAATGCTCTTCTACTTATTGCGGCTGGACACTTCACACCAAACCATTCAGACCTTGAATTAATGACCTTTATAATTTGCAAAGAACACACTTTTGAAGTATATATATATGTCGTAACAGATGCAAACGTTCACCGTTTTTAACACATAACATTGTCAAATTCATTAATACATGCCTTATTTTTGGCCTTTGTAAAATATTATAATCATGGGCTTATAACTTTAAATGCTGATGATGAAGTTATTGAAAACAATTGTTTGCTCAAACATTCTTCATTTTTGAGTATTCTATGGGGATTTTTAAACTGCTGAAAGATGGAACTAGCGATAGAATCAGAATCGATCTTCTCAAAGCTGCATATTTATGAGATCTAAATATTGTCCATTTCCTCTGGCATGGCCGAACGACACGAGCCCCACAATAAAGATACCACACTCGACAGTCGACAGTGACGACGAACTTCATCGATATCTGACAACCAACCCCAAATAACGCCTTCTGAAAGAAGGGTACATTTTCGGAACACCAGAGAGATGACTACACGTAAGACAACATAACACTTTTTTTCATCACGTTATTACTAATTTTTCGTATCGTTTGTGTTGAAAAACTAAAACCAATGTTTGCTTATATGTTTATGCATGTGTATGTATACATTGCAGAATAAAATCGTTGTGCAAAAATTGTTACACGCTATAGTGTCCGTTGCTATGTTAAACCCATACAGCTTATTCTAGCTTCCAGACAGGCCAATTTATTCCCTTTTCGTGAGTTAAATTTTGACCTTGTCACTTGTTCGCCTATAAGCCTTGACCATTTTTAATGTATACGTATGCGTTTTCATTTATTACCTTACTCATCACGTATTTGCAGCTTACTTTTGTCTGAATATAAATATCAATTTACGCTTGGCTAAATGGAGTTTGCTCACACGCTTTCTCCACATCACATCAACTCGTTTAGCTTTATTCATTCGATCGTCTGTCTAGATCAATGATGGTATGACATATACGTATTTGAAATCCATTCTCATACTTGACCTATTTAATTCCGTTATTCAGTGGAGCGATTTAAGTCGATAATAATATACGAGGATTGGCAACATGTGTATTTCAATAACAAGCAGCAAACGATCTAGCTGGAGTCGAATGTATGGCCATTAAAACGCTATTTCATGTATGCGAAACTCCTGTATGCCAGTTTATTTTCCTCTTTCTCCCGTTTTATGTCCTTATGCACGTATGCGTGCAATTTCACACGTACTCACACATCCTTTCTCTTTTTCAGGATGGCTAGAGTTCATGAAAAAGTCGACGACGTTAAGGAGAAATCGAAATTTTATTGTAGCTGTTTTTCATTATTATATTGTACCACTTTGTCTCATATATTAATGAGGGACGACTAAAGGTTCCTGAACATAGCAAGCTGTCAGAATAGTGTTTATGAACGACAAACACATCGGGTTCGAACTTTTGAATGGTTATGTCTTTGGGTCATCACAGACTCACTGTAGAGGGAGTGATTTGTAGAGGTGAATAAATCCCCATATACAATAACTCTATAGGTACTCGACATTCAATACTGACTGCATCAGTTTTACTAGACTCACCTAACTGAAGGTGTCCGATCAAGCATTCGCACCAGATCACAAGTGTATGCCATGCTAAACAACCCTTGCAACATCTAGCCAGCTTGGACCAAATCTTCCTCCACATACCATCAACCTTTGAAATATATCTTCTAACTCCTTCATTTCTGACTTCTGATTTGACTGGGCTGGCATACTTCGATTACAAAAAACATAACGGCAAAGGTGTTGTCAATCTCCATATACTTACGGCGTCATTAAATGCATCAAAAGCAAAGGTATTCAATCAAGGTTCAACATATCTGAGCACATTGGTCTTCAATCCTAGTTGGTTACAAGTACCACTGTTGATGGACTTGGATTGAACGATTTTCCAAGTTCGTAGGACACGTTTGGTGTTTTTCGGTAAATCCGATATCAGATATTGAAACGCACTTAAAGTGCAGTCATCATCTCTGATGGTCTGAAAACAGTTTGTCATAAATTTCTTCAACGCCATGCTAATTTTTTCCTCCCGGTATTTGAATATTTGTAGACATAGTTCAACGTCATTACTCCTTTGAAGAAATGAATTAGCGATTTCACTTCTTTCACATACCATCATTATCCATTTTATGGAGTGTATATTCTCATTGCAGTTATTTTTAGTTTTTGCTGCTATTAATACAAAGTAAATTACTGCTAAATTGAATTGTTGAATATCGGGCTTTCGTTAAAAAGTTGACTAGATGAAAGCAAGTTATGTATTTTATTGAACTTTGTGTTATATGTCGACCTGTTACAAGCTAGGGGCTTGGCGATTTCCCTGTTGTCCTAAGTCTACGAACTTTCTCATATACTTTTACCAAACTCATCTTATAGAACAAAGGAGGTATTTATTGATAGTGAATGAAAACGCAAAGATTATACAATTTACTTGCATGCAGCAAGCTATTTGTAATTGCCACCAAGCATACATGAACACTTCTAACAAGCAAATAAAAAATTCTTGATGTTTCAATTTCAAAACTTTCTAGTGTATAAATATTGTTGTTTTGGTGCTGTTCCTAAATAAAACGTTGTTCTTCACAAACCCCGGTCGATGAAGATTTCCTTCCCATCCTCAGACATCGTGGTTGCATTTCATGCCAACAGGCACCGGTTGCCACTTGATGTTTGTATGCATCCGGATAGGCTACACGACACCAGGATAAAGCACAAAGGTTAGTTGTGGCTAACTATTTCACTTGTGGACTGCCTAGGTCATAAAAAACGCATAAAACAATGGGGCTCCCATTTTGGAAAACCCTATGTAGGTAGGTTACCTGTCTATTCACACAAGGCTCATACAGATAAACAGGATGGGGAAGTTCATGTGTTTCAAATTGAAACCATAAACTGCTTATGCATGAACATCGCAAGTTAACCAAATAAAATGGTTAAGCTGCGTGAACTCAGTAATACTAATAATATTCATCTGATAGGAACATCTAAGTTTACGGACCAGAAGCTAGCAAAACCCGATATGCCTTTGTTTCGCAGTGACATAAAAACAGGAATTGGAAATGGAGTAGCCTTATATTTATGATCTTGTCTGGAAGTACATCAAATGCATAACCAAGAGTTTATCAATCTTGATGTGTTCGTAGTGTCTACCACATCAATGTGTCTAATTGGAGTCATCTACAGAAAACCGACAGCTGATATCGAGTAAGACAATAGTATGCTGGAAAGATTATCCCACTCTACTCGTCTCGGATTCACTCATATCTTGACTATAAGGGAATTCAGTCTTCCTAAAGCCAATTTAGTGGAACATACGTACATTCGAGTTGAAAACTTTACTGAAGCCCGACGTCAAAGTTGAGTAGATGACAACGGAGATACCTTAAACACTTCAAAGCGTAAAGTAGTCCATCTGAGACATTTTGCAGACTACAGCTACAACTTAGACAACTCCCATTTAGAAGTATCACGAGTTAAAAAAGATTTTGAAGGCTGGTACCCTACGATTTTAAGTCTAACATTAACTGTGACAAAAATGCCTTTCGAGCAAACTTTGCACTGGTAACATTGAAGCTCATTTTGGCCAGTTCGACGGTAGAACTTTCCACATAGTATTCAACAGTTCCATTCGTCCCCATTTACAGTGTGGAAACATAGTATTTTCCCCTTCACTCCAAAATGATGAGGACACTCTGGAACGTATCCAACGGCGAGTCAAGAAATCAGTTCGGGAACTCAAATTCAAGCCTTATGAAGAGCGCCTCCAATCACTAAGTCTCTACCTGTTGAGCTACAGGAGTCATAGAGCTGACTTTTTAACTGCTTACAGCATCTTTAACACTTCTGGGCATCCCCTTAAACACCTACTTATGTTTAGCTTCAATGCAAACGTTTGGGAGTAACACGTAGAAACTGGAAACCCAACTCAGCAGAACGGCATGTAGACATGACTTCTGATCTTTAAGAGTTGTCAACTTCTGGAATTTGCTGCCGGCTGATCTAGTTCAAATGACTTCCCAGGAGTCCTTCAAAAGAAGGACTAATAATAAAATCTTACTATGATTTACCGATATTTTTTTTTCTTTTCTCATTAATATACCTAGGTTCCTGCCCTGAGTTATTGGTGACCCTATGCTACTAGATACGAAAGCCCGTTAAGTGAAAGCTTCTTCCATTCCGTCCACAACCGATTGACCCATTTGAACAATTTGAAGTAAGCGGCATGTTCGAACAGGCCGCATTACTTTCGATTTTCTACTAATTTCTCTCAAATAACCGACGTAAGGTGTAAAAACGGACATTTCTTCTTGTTTACGCTTTATGTTGATGTCATGTTATTCTGAGCTATGAAGTGATGTGTTGTCACTTTCATTCACCATTTTCCTATTCTGTCTCAGACATGTCTTCAATTAAAAGAAGTATTCCATGAGAAATTATTGTTTCTGCCGTTTGCTTCATATAACCATCACAACCAGTTTCATACCTTAAAAAATTTCCAATTCTTCCCTCAGAGATATTCGTAATTTTAGCTTGTATTTTAGTTCTTTCAGTTGTGATCTAGATCCATTTTTAATTACAAAACTTGGAGCCATCTTAATCCATCTGTTACTTTGGAGCCATTTACGAAAAATTCTGCAACTTGTGGTTATTTAGAAAAAAAGATGTCTCCGGAGAATATGGATAATATTTGCACTCAAGGTAATATCTGCAAAATACTTTAATGGATCCTTCAGATAAACTTGTTTCGACTCAAAAAGTTAGTAAAGCAGCTCGTCGTCGTGAAAAACGAGCTGCTCTTCAACATGCTCAACAGACAGCTGCTTTAATGAATATACAAACAGATAGATCTAATAGTCTTCGATCTGTTGAAATGAAAAAGTTAGAAAAAGAACTTTCAGCCCGTCACCTATGTTTATTTGAAGTAAGCTTTTTTATAAAGATTTGAACAAATTACACGTTTAGTATATTTGTGGTTATTTATATCACCATGAGGCTTGCTAATTTATTTATGGTGAATTATAGAACTAAGATATATTCCTGCTATACGGCTTCAAGACATGAGAAGCACCTAATGGAACACAACCAGAATTCGGTCGGTTCTTAGTCGATCTTGATGATATAATCTGTCAGGGCTTAAGTATTCAAAGTGCCTTCTGAAATTAGCCAAACTGTTTTGGAAACACATGGATGAAATCTTCGTTATATGTGATAAAGGTTTTGTTGTTGTTCAGTTATTAGATAAACTCAATAACGTACAGAATAATATCGTACTAACATAAGCGGAAGAAAGTAATAACCGATTACTCTTCTCAGACGTGCTCTTGAATTGATGGGTGGATGAAACAAAACGGCGGTTAGTTTATAAATAGCCAACCCGACCTGATCGATTTTTAAATTTCCAGTTTCTGTCTAAGCGAGGTTTGGTAGAGCACCTTTTTTGACAGGACTCGAACAATATATACCACGTATATACGTTTGAAGAAGATACAAAACTGCTGATCAATACACATACCAAACGGTTACCCACTAAATTTCATAAATAGGTGCAAAATTCTGTCAACACCAAAACCCCTTTAATTTTGCTGCAAAGAAAAATGCAAAGTGATTTACAGACTGACTAAAAGCAGTTATTGAAAAACATTACGCTGCTAAATTGGTTGTGATTGAAGTTACTAAGCCCGTGATTTTAAATGGACCTAGACGCTGCACGAACGATCACGTCACATCCCATTGCACTTACTAGTTTACATTTTTGTGTGGACACATATATAGGGGAGAGTAATCGAATATTGCAATCAAAGGTTATGGAAATTGTGCCTAGATGGCTTCAAAATCAGTTCATGTCAAATGTTCCGGTAAACGTGGTAAGTAGAAAACAATGTTCATCGTTACAAAAGTATACAATTGAAACGGCATTTAGGATTTACATTAATACGGCTTTTATGATGTTGTATAGAAATTGTCAAGGATGAATTCTCAGGTTTATAGAAGCCTTATCTTTTCGCAAATTCAAACCCATCTTATGTGCCTTTAGTTTTATTGTTCCATAATTGTTAGTTCATATTCGGTTTGATAAATCCTCATTACATTTTAGATGTTCATTACCTCAATCTTCTGTGACTGTCATTGTTTTGCATGTGAAATATCGGTCGATTTGTGATTGCTTTTGTTGTATGTAAGCGTATCTGTTGCTTACATCATATCTATTGTAACTATCCGGTATTTTATAGATTCCTCTGGGCAGCTAGTTGTGTTGTTACGAAAAAATTATATCTGTCTTCTGGTTGAATTTTTCACAGAGACTATTCCATTGATGATTCTTCCATTTTGATTTTTTAAAGAATGAATCCCACATAAGTATCATAATAGATATATTCGCAAGTAGTTTTATGGCATGTTGAAATAATCATACCCAATCGTTTTATGGTATTAGAAAATTCGAGTGTCTAGGGATTTACTCGTGACAAGTACAAGTTATTTGAAATGTACTTCGTGATCCATAGTAAATAACAGAACAAACCACAGGTATGTTTTGTTACAGACGTTTCCGACGAATTCCTTATTTGCATTGTAACTACGAACTTGGTGTTTTTTAAATTACTCCTGGAATCTGAGGACACAATTGTTGACTAATCTATTGGAAAGACTTGTACATGTGTCATGCCTCCTAATTTTCATCGGGATACAAGCAGACCTACTCAAATGAAGACGGACACATTGAAGATTTCAGTATTAGTAAATATAACGTATTTTTCTAAACGATGATCATAGATAGATGTCATAAAATAAGTATAGTTTGTAGTAACCTATGTGTATGGTGACCTATTGATTAAAGCACTTGACTTTCTCAGGTCCCAAACCTGCTTCAACAGGTTTGTATCATTAGATCAGACAAAATGACTTACCCAAAACCGGGTAAACAGATATTAGTGCAATGTAAACACCCCAATATTTACTGGTCATCTCCTGTAATTTGTTTACAGAGACGTACGAGCTTCATTAATATCTAAATAAGACAGAAACAGTCGTTATAACTTCTACCAATAGTTCTTTTACTGTTCTTTCTTTATATTATTTATTGTGAGGTTCCTTCAGATGGAGATTGCCTTTATCAGTCAATTGGGCATCAATTAAAAATTCGGAATTATCCATTACACACATTAATAGGAAAGATTGAAATGTCTGATCCAGAAATTCTTAATGATATTACCACCGATCTGACAATGAAACAAGTAGTGAAAATTTTGCGTCATCTTGCATCGTATCACATTCGCAAAAATATGGATGATTTCCTACCATTTTTGTTCAACCCAGATTCTGGAGAACCAATGAGTATAGGTATTCTAGTTTAATTGATTGTCGTAATTTCATGCACATATTTCTCAACAAAGTTCTTTTTTAAAAATCTAATTTAGTTATTACGACTTATTTAGCTTAAAAGGTAGATCCCATCAACTGTGGACCTGTTGAAAATAAATTAGCACTAAATCGCTGTTTACCTTCACATTCCCTTATTCACAACTTCACAGGTAGTCGTATAACCCCCAGGGGACTTTTATTTGTTGCACTGTACACGATATGACTGGTTGAGTGAGTGATAACTGATATTAACTTTTTTATTGGTCGAAGGGATAAGTAAAAATCATAACCTGTCTACTATGAACGTGTTGAGTATATTGTAGCGTGACATCTCAGATAAAAACGCAAATATAGTAAATATTAGGGCTAAAAGTGTAATATGTGGTGAAAATCACACTAATATCTAGCAACCACCTAACAACCGAGTAGAGAATCGACCGAATACTCGAAGTACGACATAATTAGTGAAAATCGCAAACTCAACGATAAAAACTTTTTGAATTATTTAAATGATCAACTGATTGCATTAATTACCTTGTACTCTGTTATATTGATGGACTAAATTTCGTTGTATGGTTTTAAAACTACAACTTTATATGTTGATTTATTTCTGTTCCTTATTCTAGTACTCACTAAAATCGGGAAAAGCTCATTTATCATCTCATTTAGTCGTATATGTTTATTTAAATGTGTACTCATTAATTTAATTTATTACAAATTATTTTTTTAAATTATGCCAAAACCTTACAGTCTTGTGTCGATTTGGGTATTTTAAAACACTTTATCATATTTAACATGATCCTGTAGTTTGTGAATTCTTTCGTGTCATTCAAGATTGAGATTCTCTTTATCTGACTGTTGTCACTGCCCAGAATCGTTTGTTCTGTCTTAGGGCTATACCTTTGAAATAAAGCTAGTTGTTATATTACTCGTCTGGTCTAAATTGTGACTGCCCCTAAATGCCCTGGCGTGGCCGAGAGTGGAGAGAGTCCGCACTCCCTCTCGAAATGCTCTCACATGGCCACGCGTATACAGCCTCTACCAGGGAAGTCCTACTCACTGCCTTCTCGTGGCGGGGGTGTTGTTTTCGAAATTGAGAGGACGAAAAGTGAATGTCCAATGCTTTAACCGCGTTGGTGGACATGGAGAATCCACCTAGGGGAGTTGGAAAACCCTGATTCCAAACCAATGGTGCACATGGGCTCCAGTATCCTGCGGGAATAAATGGCGTATGAACCAATCGTCTGTCACCAGCTACCATGGAACTGCATCTCCTTACGTTGCCCCATTGCTTTGTGGATCAGCCCTTCAGGTTGAAGGCTCCGGGTGTGCCCCCCTAAGAAAACCATCTGCTTCGGTTTGGGCACCGGGACAGTATCACAGTCCTCACATATATTAAATGAGATCTGTGTGGCGCATATATATTTGGTGCTTCCTTGTACCAATATCTGTGTGTTAAATAATAAACTGTAACTACTACGTTGGCGTGGTGGCCGCACTTTCTGACTTGTGACTCAATCAAGCAACATTGGCTGAAAAGAACAGTTCAACTTATCTTTAGTTACCCATTATTTCCTCATATATAGTTATTGACACGGAAATCCTACTCACTTCATTCTCGCGGTGGGGATGTTGTTTACGAAATTGAGAGGACGAAAACGAATATCCGACGCTCTTATTGGGTTGTTGTTGGGACTTGGATGACTGATTCCGTGGACCCGGGTTTCGTGTTACTTGGCACTCGTCAGCAAGATGTACCTATAATCTTGAGGGAACTGGTGCTCCCTGACGGATTCGATCCCGTGTCACCCAGCTTCACAGTCAGAGACGTTACTGTGGTGTGAGCTACTTGTATTGATATAAGTAGTATATAACGTGCGTTAAAAGAACGTAATGTCTGACAGCGGAAGATGGCGATGATCAAGAAAGGTAGAGCGAGAACAAAATGGAATTTGTAAGAAAATGCATGAACAATAGAATGGGAGACAATGGATTGGTGTTTGCAACAGAAACAGTCCAGTTTGGTTTGATGCATGAATATTTTGCACATTGACGATTGACTATATGGTATTCAGATTTTGTTGAGATAGACTGTAATTGTTGTGCTAAATACATCTGTTTGTCCCCACCCGTGTTCTCGTTCACTACAGTTACCACTGAGCTATCTGGGCCGCGACCGACCCTAATCGTTCCGATTACTGCTTTTACTTTTACTACCTCTACCACTAGGGGATTCGAATCTACAATTGTATCTGCGTGTTAATGTGGTATGGCAGCTCGAACCGATGTACGTACGTACGAAGTTCTACGTTGTTGGCTGACTGACTGAAACAAGTCACCTAAGCATTAGTGTATTTGAAAGGGTTATGAGAAAGCGAGGAAGAGCAGCAAAACGTCTCAAAGTCTCTATCATATACCCATTTTTTATCTTTGCTTATTACCCTATGATATCCTGGCCGTTGCTACTACCTTGACGTAGTAGTCGGGCTTGACTATCGTTATGAACCAATCGGGCTATACTGGCTGGAACAATCATTCTTCAAGGTCCTACCATGCCAGGTAGGTCGGCAGCTCACCAAAGGTCTGATGGCGAAGTCGTACTGCTGACTGTACAGAGGTGTGACGTCAGCAAAGTGTTTCGTTCAGACGACCAGCATGACAGCGATACTGCCTTCCCACAAGGAAGGGTGAGGTTAGAAAAGGTCAACCCTAAAAGTGCGCACCTCGCCTTATCCCAGAGATTTCTGTATCCATCGGTAAGGTCTCAAGTACACTAAAATTGCTCGCAAAAACGTCGTGCGCGACCGGCCTCAAGCAATTGTCCCTTAGGCATTGCAGTCACGCTCTCAGGTCACTAAGACCACCTCTAAACGAATTTCCTTAACAGATACCTCTCGAAGAACCCTTCCGCTGTGTGGGCAACCAGGAAGTGGTGACCGTCCTCACACCTATATCAGCACTCAAGACTGACTGACCCTATGCCTAACTTCACCATAACTCACTCGGTTTTATTAAAATACACAAACAATACTTCAAAGACATGTATGATCGAAAATAGTAACCTGTAAATATCCTCTATTCTTAATTTTTATGTTTCACACCCGTAAAGTGGAGTAGAGTGAACTGCCGCACAATAAACTCATTCTTTAGTTGGTATACAAATATCTCGCTTTCTGAACTCATGAGGAGATTTCGTTGCACAACACCACATCAGGGCTGATGAAACTTTTAAGATAAGTGAACCAGTTAACCCGACAAACTACTTTTTGGCTCATATCTGAGTAATTTCATGCAGTTCTTTCCATTGATGAATTTGAATAAGGCAAAACAACAAATGTGCCTGGTTAATATTGAATCTATTTATGATGTGGACTCTGTTCACTTGCTTACATATTAGAAATAACAGTAGTGATCATTTGAAACCAATACCGATGTATTATATTAATGGAAATTGGTAACGTAACCACAATACTTACGGAAGAGTTATGAAAGTTTTTAAGTGGTTGGATATCTGCATGTTAACTAGTGTGAAAATTGTTGAAGGAAAATGTTGAAAACACATGGAAAAAACGTTCTAGGAAATGAAGAGTGCATAACAGAAACTTAAAATCGATAGGTTTATAGAGTAAAGTGAAAAGAACTTTAAAGAACGATATATATATTAATAATAAACAGAGTATGGTAATGGGTAGCAATGAAATACAGGACATCTGTTTTATCCTTTTTGTAACCCAGCCGAATATGAGGTCACCTAAGTGTTGCTGTTCACATCGGGACTCAAACCAATTATCGTTCACTTCAAATGCCGTCGCGTTAGCCACTGGTTTGTGCATTGGGACGAATTTCAACTTGTATGTATTGTTTGTCCGAATCTTCTAATCGATTTCGAGGATTGCAGTTGTTTAATGTCTTTTGGCAAATGTGGATTCTATGCACATTGCCCTTATATTACCATTAAGTCACGAAGATAAGAGAAGTATTAGGAGATGTAGGAAGGATTTGAATGTGACCAACTTGGTCTCGTGTGCTGTTACGGGTATGAGGGCTGATGTCACTTCCCGGCTGCCCACACCGTGGAAGGGTATTTCTTGAGGAACCTGAAAAGGAAATTGGATTAGTGTTGGTCTTGACGACCTGGGAGCGTGACCGCAGAGCCCAAGGGACAACTGCTTGAGGCCGGTCGCGCACGGCCTTTTTGTGGAAGGATTTTGACGTGTTAGTTCCTTTCTTCATAGGGCCTTACCGTCGGAGACGGAAATCCGTGAGGTAAGGTGAGGTGTGACATTTTTGGGGTCGACCTTTTCTAACCCCACCCCTCCTTGTGGGAAGGCAGCATCGCTGTCATGCTGGTTGTCTGAGGGAAACACCTTACTGCTGTCACACCCCTCTACAGTCAGCAGTACGACTTCGCCCTCAGACCTGTACGACTTCGCACCTGCAATGGCGCAGGTGCATCCACTCTTTGTGTTCTCCCAAATTCTAATCTTCTGAATTCTTCATGTCCCTTTTTTCCTCTTTCCAAATTTATTTCACTGAATTATACTCTTTAAATAACATCTCCAAACCCTAATCTTCCCGATTACTGCTTACACTCTTGCTACCTCTACCACAATGGGATTTGAATCGACAACTGCATCTCTGTGTTAAGGTGGTGTGGCAACTCGAACTGATGTACGTACGTACGAAGTTCTACGTTGTTACTGACTGACTGAAGTCACGAAGATTTTACGATGAGTTGATTGGTGGCTAGCAATGGTATCCAAGATGCTCCTTTCGTCCCATTTAGGACTCGTCGTCTGCTCCTAGTGGTTGTGATTTAATGGCAATATCGATGCATTACGCACATGATGCACATACGTCGAACGAGACAAATTAATTGTGATTCTCGACATCACCAATGCGAAGATTTAAGCAACTATTACATTAAAATATTAATACTGTTTCTAGATTTTAATCAGCTAAAGAGAACCCATGGGATGAAAATGAATTCATATAATTCTACTATTTTTGTTGTTTTTGCTTTAATCCAATTTGAGTGTATTACTTTATAACTCTAATTGTTGAGATGCGGTAATTACTCCCAGTTACTTTTTTCACTATGGACATTTCCATCTTTTGATATATAGTATATTCACCTGGAAAAACTGATAAATTAATTCAGCTAACTCCAACAAAGTTATTTGCTAGATATCTTAAAGTATAAAAGAGTTAATTTAAATAACTATACATCTTCAATCAATGATTCATTAGCTAATCAAGACAAAATTAACGCTATGATGATATTCAAGTATGAAGAAATGGTAATATCATCGTCATAATGTGAACTAATAATATGCTGAAAGCTAATTTTAGTAAAAAAAGCTTCAGTTTGCAAATACGCTCATTAAATCACAGAGGAAAAATAATGTGTTCTAGAGGAAGACAGTGTATTAAATACAACTGTTGTGGATGCGAAGGATAGACCAATAATTATCATGTTAAGTCCAATGGTGTCCTTGAACTTTAAATGGACATTTCCTACTAGTCGATATCTGTCCACTTGTTGAATATTGTAGAAAATGTTGTTTTCTGTTTTTATGGTACGATGTGGTATGTTTGGTTAGTATATAAATAGAGTATGTCTGAAATACAATGATTCATAACTCCGAGGCTGAGATTTGTGTTCTGGACTCAACTGGCTGGTATAGACAGCGAAGCAGGGCCAATCAGGACACTAGGACGTTCGTACGTATTTTCGTGTCACTGCGATCGATCGGTATAAACGCTGCTTATCAATAACCTGCAGTCTCACTCTTCACAACAATTGGCGATGGGGTGGAGAAAAAAGTTTTGAACCCTGTAATTGGACGAGATTCAGCCTAATTGTTTCGACCAATCAGCATCTAGATTGTCATCAGCGTCCTTGAGCAACATTGGTCATTATTCCTACAGTTAATTTTCATTGCTGGTGCTAAAAAATGACTACTTTTTCCGATCAATTACAGCTTCTACTTGAACAACAACAGCAGTGTTTCAAAAATAACCAGTTAAATTTTTTAGAATATTTACGCACACGGATGATAAATCTCCCATGTTTCGGAGATGCAACAGAAGTTGGCAAGTTCATTTCTCATCTGCAGACTGAGCTGGAAAACAACTGCAGAACATATGAAGCTGTATATAAAAGCCTCCGTGAATCCCTGACGACCAGTGATGTAAACGAGACAGTTATTAATGATCCGCCCAGCGATCCAGAAATGTCCAATTCAGAAGCATGCCCTGTCGTGGGTTCAAATCCCACTGTACCTGAAACATGTGAGGTATCCAGCTCACAAGAGGAACCCTTCGTGCCAGAAAATGAGTCCTATGGATCAAATAATGGTCAGGAATTTAATACAAATTTCAAAGATGCTGTTTATTTTAGTGACCTATTATCCACTGATAGAATCTTGAAGAGGTCTGATGAATATGTTTCACAAGAATCAAACTTTAATGACCTCATGTCTGGTGTTGCTAATCCTCATCATCTAGTCAGTTTTAGTGAAGCCTCTACTCAATGCGCGAAATATGCTTTAAATAGAATCAGACTAACTGTTACTTGGGTATATGAGGACCCAACATTATTTCGTGGGGGGGGGTGGACCCAGAAAATTTCAAAATCCGGATATCAACTCTGGATCTTCAAAAAAAGGGAGGTGTTGTGGATGCGAAGGATAGACTAATAATTATCATGTTAAGTCCAGTGGTGTCCTTGAACTTTAAATGGACATTTCCTACTAGTCGATATCTGTCCACTTGTTGAATATTGTAGAAAATGTTGTTTTCTGTTTTTATGGTACGATGTGGTATGTTTGGTTAGTATATAAATAGAGTATGTCTGAAATACAATGATTCATAACTCCGAGGCTGAGATTTGTGTTCTGGACTCAACTGGCTGGGGGGGGGTAGACAGGGAATCGGGACCAATCGTAACTCCAGGTCGTCCATTACGTTCGTACGTGTTTACGTGTCATTGAATCGGTGGATAAATACGCTGTTCTCTAGTTTTTCAGTCAGGGATACAACAATTAGCACAGGGTAAAAACCAACCACAATTTAAAGTCATAACAACAACTGTGATACATCATTTGGTCTTGAAAAGCCATGTCACCCACGCCTTTAATCGTATATAATAATTATTTCATTTACTTCTAACCATGAAAGTTTCAACCATTAAGATGACTTAGACTAGCTTATATACTGACTGCTTAAACTGACGCCATGTCCAAGTTTAATCTCGTCTCGTCTTTTACAGTTCTCTCATATACTAGCGCAAGCACTGATTTTCTGCATCGATATGTAAAACATGTCTGTTATTTAATCTCTGCAATCCTAATGAAGTAAAATTTTCATCTTTAACAATCAACAATAGTTGTAAGAGTTTCTTGAAATTATGATTAAACTTGAAAATATTCATTTTGAATTGTAAATATATTGGATAACATTGTAAGAATTTTATGACAATTTCACTTTCCTCTTATTTGAAGCTAATTTTGAACAATATTGTGACAATATAGAAAAAACATCAATGTGGGGTGGACAAATTGAAGTTAGTAACAGTGCTATTTTCATATTTTTTGTCTATTGACTCATATGTTTTTGTTGATTTGAGAAATTAATGTTGTGTTTATTTGTCAGATAATCTACTGTTAAATTGTATTTAATTTACCCTTCTTATATGTTGTTTGTATTGAGTAATAATTTCCTCTAAGATTGTGTTACACTTGTGTCTCTCAAATCACTTGTAATTTAGTAACTAATTTGTTTATAATGTGTATTTTTACAAGGTTGATTTGTGATTGTTTATATTTTATAGGAGATGCATTTGTTTCCTTAAGGTTGTATACATGTTCTTCCAATGGGTCTGCTATTTACTGATATATAACACTATTATTCACTATGCTATTGTAAATAACTTAGCAGTCACATTCCATTCACTCTCTATGGTTAAAAATTTATTTCCATTTTGAATATGGATGATTGTTTTACAAAGTGATTACTTAAGGTTAAAGATGGTCTTCGTCATGAACTGGACTTCTGAAAACTATATAGTGCTAGACATAGATTTTTGCATTAGGCTACGGCTCTTCATAAATAATCTCCCTTTACTCCGCACTAGTTCAAACCCTGGACCTCCAGGTATCATGTAGAGTTCGTTGACATTAGAAATGTGAGTCACCAAATTTTCAACCAATGGTATAGATGTACCACGAAATAAAGGTTTTCGTTCATTTCCGTATTGGGATAGTGGGTGATCACATTAGGACGAAACGACTATCCAGTCCTACTTTGTTTTCATGCTTCTCTAAGTAGTATTATTTTACAATGAAAGCTCCCTACCTTCTTTTTTCTCTCTTCCCATTCTCATTGTTTTGTGTGGCGCTTATATATTTGGTGCCCTCTTGTATCAATATTTATGTGTTCAAATAAAACAATAAATTTTTGTAATTACATGAGTCCTGGATAAAAGTTAAAATACAAAGCAGGGAGAGAAACTAGAAAAATAACAGTACTGTCAAACAAATCGCTTTAGAGGGATTTTCAGAATATTCATTCAGTTACAATAATCTCTAAAAGTAGGGTATTAAATTGACTCATTCTCTATGTACTTTGGTATCAGCCGCGCTCTAAATGTAACGGATAATGAAACTACGCGATCGCTCAAAATTGAAGTAGTTGGAAAGGCATTCAAACATAAGGAACTTAGTAATTAAAACTCAAACAGCAATAAACTACTGACATAATTGTTAGTCTTGATTCTTCGGTATCATATCGACTGTTTTCGTTGTATTTTCACTTTTCGTCCACATTTTGTTTGACAGATCCGTGCCTTATCTACAATGCTTCAACTTCCTATTGAAATATTACAAGCTGAAGGAGTCCCATTAATTATTGGAGAAGAGTTTTCTGAAGAGCCACCAATCACTATTGTGTAAGTTTATTAAAGTACAAATACTAATCATTTTTCATTTTCTTAGAATGTCAGTATTATTATTCGTTTGCTTTATATATATAATTATGATAGAAGTCATTCAGTTTTAATCAACATAGAGCCGTTGTGACATTTTTCGAACCGTATCACTCAATATCTCCAACCACTTGTCACGGTTATCAAATGAATTCCAACCAGATAGTTTTCACTGTCAACGTTGATCACATCATCAGCCAATGATTTCAAAGACTAATTCAACCGCCCTAAACTTCCTCTCAACTTACTTTTACACCAATAAACGTCCTCCGTCGAAGTATGCAATGTTTACCTACTTACTTACGCCTGTTAATCCTCGTGAAAGAGCATAGGCCTCTCACCAGTATTCTGCATCCAACTCTGTCCTGGGCAATCCTTACCAGCTCTTTCCAGTTGTTATTCATCCTTTTCGTATCTGCTTTTATTTTCCAACGTAATGTGTTCTTTGTCCTTCCTCTTTGCCGCTTCCCTTCAGGATTCAAAGTTAGGGCTTGTCTTGTGATACAGTTTGATGATTTGCGTAATGTATGTCCTATCCATTTCCATCGTCTTTTCCTAATTTCATATTCAGCTAGAAGCTGGTTTGTTCTCTCCCACAAAAGACTGTTGCTGATGATATCCGACCAATGAATGTTGAATATCTTGTTTAGATAGATATTTATAAATACTTGTACCTTCTTGATGGTGGTTGTTGTAGTTCTCCGGATTTCAGCTCCGTACAGTAGAACTGCCTTGACGTTCGTATTGAAGATTGTGACTTTGATATTGGTTGAAAGTTGCTTTGAGTTTCATATGTTCTTTAACTGTAGGAATGCTGTCCTTGCTTTGCCAATCTTCGCCTTTACGTCTGCATCTGAGCCTCCTTGTTCATCGATGATGCTTCCTAGGTATGTGAAGGATTCCACATCTTCCAGAGTTTCGCCATCAAGAGTGATTGGATTGCTGTTCTCCGTGTTGTATTTGGGGATCTTGCTTTTTTCCTCATGTATGCTGAGGCCTACTGATGCAGCGACTGCTGCTACACTGGCTGTCTTTATCTGCATTTGTTCGTGTGTATGCGACAGGAGGGCTAGGTCATCTGCGAAGTCCAAATCTAATTGATTTCGAGCTGTCCATTGTATGTCGTGTTTTCCCTCAGATGTCGAGGTCTTCATAATCCAGTCGACCACCTGAAGCAACAGGAAGGAAGAGAGTAGACAGCCTAGTCTGTCTCCGGTCCTTACTTGGAATGCATCTGTCAGCTGTCCTCCATGTACGACTTTGCACTAGTCCGTTGTATGAATTCCGGATGATATTGACGATCTCAGATACTCCATAGTGTCAAAGAAGTTTCCATAATGTTCTCCTATCTATAATGTCAAATGCCTTTTTATAATCAATTAAGTTGGTGTACAGTGACGAGTTCAACTCAACTGATTGTTCGACGATGATCCGTAGTGTCGCAATATGGTCTATGTACGACCGATCCTTACGGAATCCGGCCTGTTGATCTCGAAGTTGGGCGTCTGCTGCGTTTCTCATCCGGTTCTGCAACACTGTTAAAGACTTTTCCAGGTACTGACAGTAGTGTAATGCTCCTGTAGTTTTCACATTTGCTCAGATCTCCTTTCTTTGGAATCTTGATGAGGTGTCCTTCTTTCCAGTCCATCAGCACTTGTTCCTCTTCCTAGTTCTTTTTGGATAGAAGGTGAAGCATGTTTGTAGTTACTTCGATGTCTGACTTCAGTGCTTTAGCTGGTATATCGTCGTGTCCTGCTGCTTTCCCACTCTTGATTTGTCTGATTTCTCCCGTCGTTGGTGGATTGACATCTATGAGACGATCTGTGTGTGCTGTTTCGATGTCCGGTGGATTCATTGGAGCCGGCCTATTCGAGTTTCTAGAAGTACTTCACCCATCTGTTCCATTGTTGTTGAACTTCGGTGATTGGCCTGCCTTCTTTACCCTTGACCGGTTATGCAATGTTTGGGCATACGTAACTCTTGTTCTGTTGTGTTTAAAGCTTCACGAGTTCACTTAAACTGCGAACGAGAACAATACTCAGTGACCAAAGACCAGTGATCTAATTATTGACGCGTCCCAACCCCGCTATCTAGAAGGAGAAGTCCAGGCTTGGTATGGAAAGTATATTCTGCAAACAACCAGAAAACGAGCGAGCAAGCAAGCAAGCAGCAGCAAACAAACACTGTAATCGATATTGTCATAGAAAATTTTTAAACACTAATCAATGAGTTCATAAATTGACCTATTTGCCCATTGAATCGATAGTTCTTCTATTGACTGCTATTCAAACATTTAATCAATCAGTTCATCCATTGACCTCAATACAAATATTTAAACATTTAATCAATAAGTTGATCGATGCGATAAAATTTAAAAATGAGTTTAAGGATCTATCGTCCCCAACATGTTAAAACCACCTCAGCCAATGAAAAATTACAACCTCACTAGCCGATTCACTATTTTCGCCTAGCATTATTTGCGTAATCTTAGCATCTGTCATTTAGGTAGGCATTGAGTATTAGATAAACATGACAAGTTGATAAGGCTGTGAAAAACAGTGTCGTACAATTGACCATTTTTAGACTTTTGATCTGCTTTCTTGTTTACCAATTTTTCTGTATTTTTTCGCATTAAAAAAATCCTAACTTTCAGATACCACCGTTACGCGTTCGCGCTCGGTGAACACTACAATTCCTGTTTAAAGAAGCACGAATTTCAATGATGATTCTTAAGAGAAGAATGGTAAAGGACTTCCATGTAAATAATAATTACTTAACCATTGTGTATATTATAACTGTGCTATTATTATTATTTGATCAAGATTAGTATTCGTTTTTCAAAGAGAAAGAGACTAAAATGTAATATAATTTCATTGGGGTTCAAAATTTATTTCATTCAGTAATAACTCTCTTTACTGGAATAAAATACAACACTGCGGATTTCACTATATTTTGTAAATGTTCTAATTTTCGTTGAAATTTGAGGAACATTTCATTTGTTTTGTATATTTCTTGTAAACAATTTTATATATTTGTGCTGCGACAATTTACTATTATCACCATATTAGGGTGGGGAGGCTTTCAATTCGCTGGGTGGTGTAGCTTTAATGTATTACTATGTATCTCTAGGCAATTGTACTCTCCCAATTAACTCTAAATTAGGATTAAGGCTAGCAGTTAGTAAACAAATAGATTCAATATGTCCATTTTAACATAATTCTACAACTAGATGCAAGAGATAAAATGGTTGGTTAAGGTTAATCGCTAGCTCGAATGTTAGTTTGGAAGTAATGTCTCACTATGTTCATTGATTCACATTGATTAATATTTGAAATCGAATTACTACGAATTGGGACCATTAAACAGATTGGCCAGTATAGTGACGATGAAAACGAATATCACGCTGAATTAGTTCGCAGCTTACTGTAGAAACCTAGTTAATAGTGTCATGGAAATACGAAAGTCGCTACCAAGGAAGAAGAACAACTGATCTGTGCAGTCAAGCGCTTTAAACCACCCCACTAAGAAGACCCCTCATGTCCGTATTACACTGCGGCGTGGCAAAAGAGATAGCTGTGTGCAACTAGAATTTGTTTGTTACTCACGGCTCATTAGTCGAAAACCATGAGATTTATATTCTCTTCGCTTATATCTGAAAAAACAAGGAACCACTGCAATCATCACGCGAAATAACAAAACAAGACATACGAATATAGATTTCTTTCCTCCACAAGTACACCCATCCCGATTACTAACTAGTATGGAGTCACACATGTAAAATACCCAGAGATAGGACAAATCACATAGATTAGTGCCATGCCGAGTGAAATATGGTTCATTGACATAACTCAGTTCAAATATACGGGGATTTGGTTGATGGTTGCCATTTTTGCTTTGTAACTCACAAATTGCACAAAACATTATGATCTTACGGTGCGAAATGGGTAAATATAAGTACAAACTAAACAGAATATACCATAGCAGTACTTTCTCAAGCAGGTACAGTCACTAAGTACGACAACAACTACAGGTCACTGGGCGATTAGAACTTTGAGAATTAGATACTTGACGGAAAGACATCCCAAGAAATGCATGGACAGTGTTCTGTCCCAGAGGGATGCACCGCATCGAATTGCTCAGGAAATAAGTAGTTCTAATAAGATAGTTTTGTATATAGTGTGCCGCGTGCTTAGGTTTTTGATCGCCATTCTCATATTGTTAAGTGATTTAATGCAATTATTGCCCATAAAATCCAACATTTGATGCGGAGAAAATCCCGACGATGGTGAAGGCGGGAAGAAAAAATTCAATGGATTCGAATCGGTTGGACGGCATGGCGCAACCTTGCAGGCATGATCACTCTTGAGTGTTGTGACAATCTTTTATTCACGAATTTTGTTTCAGTAAAATATGAAACAAATGGAGTTGACCTACGTGATAATCTGCATTTAGTAAACAGTATCCAAGTTCACACCAATTATTTGTTTATTCATGATCATTGAAGTTTGAGTTGTTGAGGGTATCCAAAGTATCCCCAGAAAACTGCCAGAGGGACCTTAAAGATGTCCGAGAACATTTTACCCAGTCAGCGTTGAATAGAAGGTTCTTGAAACCATCTAGCTGGATAATTAATATTCTTCCAGAAACGCTTACAAATACACTCGCTTCTCTTTACATAAACTAAACTTTGAGTAAAGCTTTAGGTCGCACACCGCACCTTTTTTATTTGACGTTGCCATGTAAATTTAGGTCGCGGTTACGAGAATCATCTAAGGAATTGATTCAAGAGCAAAATTAGAAAACAGGATTGAAGATGGAGAAAACCACAATGGGTATTTCAGTCTAGCAATTAAAATTCTACGTGAAGCGTCCGGAGAAACGATTTTATCCGTCTACATAGGGATCATAATAGCCCTTGTGCAAAATGTGTGTCTATCTCAGCATAATTGCGCTCCCAGTGGACCGCAAATTAACACAAACCTATCAATACACTGATAACATTCATAAATATTACTTCGATAGCCTAGCCAATGTTACTTTTTTCTCATTGTTTAAGAAATACGAATATCCCTCCAACTTTCAACTTTGCACACTGAATGAAGATTTAAAAACCAGAACACTGGTGAGATACATTGGAAAGTCGTCAAAAAAATAACAGAAGGGAGAGAGGTATTTTCGACAACCGAAGTTTATGAACTTTCTCTTTGAATTGCAAAAAAAACAAGCTTCTAGATGCGATTTTGGTGATTAAATCCATGTGCAGCTGCGTGATTGAAAAATTGCACGAATCAACATGTCATGTTTGAAAAGAGAGCTGGATGAACTTGATATGAAGAAGGTGAATATTCCTAATACTTTGCTCAGTCGTCATGATGAAATACTATCTCAGGGTTGATCACACTCGCGTTTGTTCAATAGTGATTATATTTCTCTTAAAAATATGAAAGGTGATTCAACAAGGAATAGCGAAGCAAACCACATAGTTGAGAGAAAATTGGGTTGATGTTTATCCTGTAGGAAATTTCATTGTCGTAAATCATATGCATTTTGTAATTCTAAATGTTTTAAATGTGGTAAGATTGGATATATTCAGTTGGTATTCGAAACTGCTGTTCGTTTTGCTGCAAGTAATACTAAAACTTGTAATTAAGATTCCATTCATTCGAGGAATCCTAGTGATCATCTACCTTTCTCCACCATTTCGAAAGGTAATGCTCATATTCAAAAGCGATTATATAAGTCTTTTGCTGCAGTTCACGACTTCATTGTGGAAACAGGTATAATATTATTATCCATCATTTCATTCAGGAACCTGAAACCTTTAGTTTCCAACGTCATGGTGCAACCCACCAATGTCTCAATTTTGGAGATTACTTGACATAAATACCCATACGAGGACGCTGTGAATTACTATGATTAAGTGTTAATTCTTCATACATGCCTTGTGAGTTTTTAGTCAGTGAAACATCATAGATAATACTGCAAGCCAATCGTAGTGCCTTCTTTACTGCGAGGAATTTCGCACGCGTGTGCTCGCACAAGTTGGCCTCTGAGTGACAGAACCAGGCTTCGATGTTTTCTGGCCAGAAGGGCATTAATTGAAAAGGAGGTGGAGACACAGTTTTTAACTTACGTACCTTAGGTATCTAATCCGTCATGGTGAGATATCACGTACAAGAATGGACGAGGAAATATCTATATATAAGTCCAAAAACACAGAAATCTATATCAAAATATGTAAAAATTAATGTGAATTGATGATGTATAAAATCCAAAAAAGGAACTGACTAACACTTTGCATGCTGATGTATCAAATCACATCGGGTTCATTAATGAAGATGCCATATGCATTCGGAGTTTGACAACACTTTAACCAGTAACACCTAATATGAAGCGTACCCAATATGTGAAATCAAAAAGGGAAGCGAGGAGGTTCGAAGATATATTTGATAGGCTTCCAATATATCGAGGGTCGTGTGATCTAATCTGGCTAGCGATTGCAAGGGTTTTTAAACACGACGTTCTCACTAGTGATCTGGTGCAAATCCATGATCGCCCGCACTCAGCTAAGTGAGTCCAGTAAAACCAATGTCGTCAGCATTAAATGTCGAAGAGTTACAAAGCTATTTGTCTTAGGGATTTATTATCGCTACGCAGTCCAATGCAACTACACATTCAACAAAATAGATACTGCAAGACTCTGTTTGAAAGGTGACTTGGATATCCTGAAAAACGTACAGAGGTCAGATAGCCGTGCGATTCCAGAACTCCGGATTTTACCATACAACGAGCTGCTTGAATAGCTATCCTCCATTATTCTGCCCTATCGCAGAATTAGAGATGAGCTGATTTTTGATGTATACAATATTAAGAAATGCTTTTGGACCTAATGAATGCTCTCCATTTCTTCTCGCTGGATCAGGACATCTAAGGGGACATAGCAGGCGAATAGAAAATCCAAGAATGAACAAAATGCCCGTATCATACAGATATTCACATTTAGTTTTCAATCCGTGGAACTTGTTACCCGAAGCAGTGGTGTCCACCCCTACAATTGGCTCATTCACGAGAAGACTAGACACACTCAAAAGCTTACTAGAAAAATACTAACACAGGCCGCAAATCTCTAGTCTTTACTACATAATTCTGAATCTGATTTGAAACTGTTATAACAGTTTTCGTTTAAAAAGTTTTTCTGGAAACTCCTTAAGAGAATCTTCATCTTCGATGATTAATAAACCAAAATAATTGCCTCGGCTCAACCGATTTTTTACCCCGTGTGTTTTGAAAATTACTGATGGCTCAAGGTCGTTAGTGTGTGTATATTTTGCTAGGGTTTGTTCTTCTCATAAAAAACTGTCTTTCCAAAATTGATGGAATTCTCCCCACAGTTGTAAGACTTTGTTAATAAAATGCATGAAACTGAAAATTCTAACAACCCTGATGAAAACGTCAGTCTTACTAAATCTGATAGTTTGGGTGCTTAGCCGCATACTTAATCCATGGGTTTCGTCGAGATTCGGAAACCATGATCAATCTTCAGTATGCAAACGAATATGCACAATAATGAAGAAGATCCAAGTGCTAGATAATAGTTTTTAGTCTCGAATCAGTTTAGGGTTCTCGGTAATTAATCAACGATTGTAGTACTTCGTTGTTTTTCATGTATTCTAAGTCATCTAGGTAAGGATATATAATATTTGGTGGGGTATTCACACTGAAA